ACTTCCTCCAAGTACCACACGATACAAGTGACGATAAAGTTCGTTAAGCAAGTACATGCCAGAATTACGTACATTTTGGTTTGACAAATTGCCCACCGAATTTACTTTAGTGACTGCCAATTCTTCACCTTAAACAACGATTTATTCAATCAAAATATTCTTTGCATCACTCCTTCTTCGCTTTTCGCGCATGTTGTCGGGGTGGAGGCGAACACTACTTAAGCAGTGTTTCAGTAGAATGTTGCCTATATTTGGCTTTGCACTGCAACTGCTGAAAGTTCAGACTGCTTTTGGCGACTGGAATGCTCGTCTTGTAAAACTAGGTTTGGTTGTACACTTTGTAACTACACTTGTGAGAAGAAGAGCTAAGCAGTTCCAAACCATCCATTAGGCTCCACCACGTCAGAACCTCAGCACTGTGCGTTGGTTTACCTGTCTCTTGAGGCTTCCCTTGCTGGAATGCAAATATGGCAAAAAATACACAGCACTCACATTTGCGGTGGTTTCTTAACACGAAGGTGACTTCTACGCACCACGGAATTCCGGTCCCGTCCGAAGAGCGAGGGCTACAACAGCTCTACAAATGAGTGACAGCAAATGGTGAAATGGAGAACAGGAAGGGAATTGTGGAACGTCGTGAAATTCGCAATGCCGCGTGCACGAATGCTAGTCATTGTGAAGGTGTGCTTCCACACCAAAGCGAGGAAACGAAGTAAAGTGCTGACACGATGGTGAATTCGTAATGTCGGGCTAACGTACGTGAAGGTGTCAACGTAACGACAATCTGCGGTAAACAGTTAAATTGAGGCACACACACATTCAATGGGACACTGCGAAGCCCATGCTTCAATGGCTTCATCCTCGTCCTCCACCTCCTCTCTCTCACGCTAACATCGTATTGCCAGGTCCGCAGTCGACGTCATAGGATGGAAGGAGGAGGATGAGGTAGAAGAAGAAGAAAAGAAAGCATTGAGGCGAATTTCCTTTTCGTTTCTCCACATGATTCCTCGGAACTCCTCTCCATCTAGTAAGCGTAAGGTGTGCACAATGAGCGATCAGCTCACGCCATCGCCTTCCATGTTTACTGAGTCACCTCCCGTGCCTCCATCCACCTCAACAGTGATGGAAGTACGCACAACAACACGAACAAATTTGTGTCGGTGAAGCGAGAGCTACGTGCCCTCGACCACCCAACAATACAATTCACACGTTCGGTGACAAGAGGAAACCACAGAATTAACTTGCCACAACTACCACTCATTTCGCCCCTCCACTTTGATGTACGCCGACACACTGCGAAGCATCACTTTAACTTACACTTTCCTCCCACATCAGCAGCCACTTTCCCACTATCCGAGTGGCAAAGAATCGTGCAACGGGACCCCGTGCAGAAGGAAGTTGTGGCTTTACTAACCGAGTTCCATGCAACACATTTCCGTATCCTCAATGCAAGCACTGACGACGCACCAACATTCACTCACCTTCATTTTGTCCGCAAATATGAAATAATGCTGCAACTCCGCCCACACCAAACAATTAAAAGTTGGGTTGGGGGATAAAAGAGACCATCTATGAATGCTCATGCAACGCATACGCAATCCATTCCACCTTCAATCAGCATCAACTCCACACTCCAACAGCATGCAATCAGCATCAACCCTCATCTGTCTGTGCCTCCTCCTACCCTCCCCCTCCTCGCTGTCGCATCGTATCCTGTCTTTGCCGCCGCAGCGGTTGTGGAGAATGCGGAAAAGAGGAGGAGGAAGACGAGAGAGTGCTGAAGTTGGCGATGTGAGTGACGCCGAAGAAAGTGACGATGTGGTGGCAGACGTGTTTGAGATGCAGAGCCTTGGCGTATCCAACGAGGCTGAGGAGAACGAATATGTCCTCATACCAGCTAAGCCGCGACGACGATGAAGAAGAATTAACTGTGGTCCTCCATACGAAAGGGAACGATGAAGGATCTATCGACCTCGTTTACCCTATTGAGACTCCTCCATCTTGTCCATTCCCCACACCAGCAAAACTTTTACAAAGCACCCACACTGACTCCATTCAACCTATGTCATGTCCGTTATGAAACAATAATTTTCATTGCTTCCATCGCCCTTTGCTCCTCCACCGCCTCCCCCTGAAGGCCTCACCAGCGCTTGTCTTGCTTGAGCAAATGCTCTTCTCCATAAACTTGCCTTACACAACCACTTCCCAATTTGACACTGAGTCGCTTCTGCAAGCACAGCAGTGCTGCGTCTTTCACTTGACCGCTTGCCATGACGATCGCATAGAGATGAAGTGTTAGTGATGAGTAGAAGGACATGAGAGGGGAGGTGGGAGGAATGGGTGGATGGGTGGAGGAGAGGCGATAGTGACGTCCATCGCATCAGGATGGTCATGAAACAGTGTGTTCAACAGTACGCAACCTCCACTACGCATCCACTCCGCAAAGCACAAATCCAACCTCAACTTCCACAGCTCGGGTCAACAACACTCATCACCATCCTCCTTTCCATCATCTCACCACATCCCACACATCAGACGCGATGCTGACACCAACTTATTGCCACATCACACCTCTCAAATGGCAAATAGTGCCACTTAACAACCCACCCACACAACAAACCACCTCCTCCTCACCACTGCAACCAACTGTCCTCCTCAGCACCAAGAGATAACATTCCTCTCACCTCCCTCCCTAACCCCAGTGAAACACGAATTTTTGATCAGACTGACAGCCAATGCACTCGCCCAATGCAACACACAACCACACATTGCACCTCCACCCTCTAACACCTCTTCCATTCATCCATTCTCTCATACACCCATTCACTCATTCATCCAGTCCTCTATCGCCACTCACCTCTCCAGCCCACTCAGTTAACACACACCCTCTTCCCTTTCCAAACCACAAGCCACTCCTCACCTCACCCACCAACACAAGTGACCGTCAATGCAGCACTACTGACACTTCTCTCTCCTTCAATGCACTGCCTTTACCACTGCCTCAAATCAGATGAGCGCACATTCACCACACCCTCAACATCCAACAGACACCGGTGGTAGGTGAGTGAGAGCACTCCATCATCCCACGCCAACAGCCAATCTGACTGCACTTCAGTAGCACATTATACTCCCTTTCTCCACCCACCCACTTACCCACCCACCACTCACCCCCATTCATCCCTTACCTGAGCATAACCTCCGTCTACTTCAACGAGCGACGCCCACCAACACATTGTCACGACGACAACAACAACAGTAACAACAGCCTCAATCTCCGCAAAATCCACTCTTCCAAGACACACCAACCAAAGGCACCTTATAACGATCGCTGCTGCTACTGCTGCAGCGGACATCATTCTGTAGCACCGCCTGCAAGGAGAGGGGAGAGGCTGATGACGACGTGTCCTTAACCTTGTCACCACCATCTGCACCACCAACCACACAGATACACACTTTCGGTTATGCACAGATTAAACAATGCACAACATCAATTTCGCTGCCAGAAGGATGAGATGCAAGCACACTCCGTCCCTGCAATCGTCAGTGACCAAGTTGGAGCACCTGGAAGATCCGCTGGGACACTCACCAATACCGAAGGTCTTATTGTCAGCATTCGTGAATTAAAAAACACTTGCCACCCTCCACAATGCCGTCGGAATATTGATGTTGCAAACCTTGGGTCAACCGTCCTGACCAGATTGCTCCCAGATCTCAGGCTCCACCGACAGCCACGTTGCTTCCCTCCACCACATGTCTTCATCTCAAGGTCTCTCCGCAGACAGGCATCCCTCGACAGCAATTCCTCTCCTTGCCACCAACAGTGTGGCGCATAAGTAAAAGCGAACGCCAAATAGTAATCAAGTAAGGATGTCTAAAATTTGGCGCTTCTCTCTCAACACGTCATCAATTCACTAACCCACAACACCAAACTCCTACTTCACCATCCTCATAAGTGGCAACCTTCTTTAGGTTGAACTCAATGCAAGCCACTTTAGAGAGATCAAACTCTCCTCACAAGTTATTCTGCCTCAAGCGCAATCCGCACTCCTTAGAATAACAATCCTGTCCGCAGCCTCCCAAACCGTTTCCCTTCATCACTTCGTATGTTTTGTGTTTTATAAACGTGGCAATCTTGGTTCAAAAGTGGGTGCACAAACCACAGCCACATCCACCACGACCACTGACCTCCTTCCTTTGCCTCTTCACCGGTCGTTGATGCGCCCGATGGGGAAGCATGAACGGCTGTGAATGAAAAGGAAACCTTTCTTCCTCATACCACACTCGTCATGTGCAGCACTACTACGATAAATAAAAAGAACACAATATGTTACCGACGTAATCCGCCTGCGCACATTGGTGTTTGTGCATACGCGTGTGTGTGTGTGTGCATAACTTCGACGGCGTTTCCAGCCTCCCACACTATTAAGCACCGATCTATCGCAAAACAAAGCACTACAAGGCAACACTGAGCAGCAACTAATGAAAACATGCATACCAAATGAAGTCGACGATAGGCCGCCAGCAAGTGAACGAATGGGAATGAAAGAAAGAAGACAGCAATTCACACTTGCCAACTTATCAAAACTACCCTACGTGCCATCGTGTCACCTCGTCCTCATTGCCAATGGCATCTTGCGGTCGCGTCAACCATTCACAGCTTCTCCCACGTCCACGTCCACGTCCACGTCCACAAGACTGTTTGTCAAGTCTACATCAAGTAAAGTAACGCCTCCCGTAGACGCCATGAAATACAATCGGTTCGAGAGGCCGAAACAAGTTCCACAAGCGTCGCATAATAGGGACCCTCCGGTGCGTAGAACTTCTTTGCACATCAAACAAGCAAGACGTGACACATGAATGTCCATCCCAATCCTACAAGCGGGCCTAACCATGGCATGGATAAACACGATTAGCTCCTAATCACATCATGCATGTTGGCAACTCAGATTTCGTAAGTTAATGCACTATCCTGCACGAGTCCACCTATTTCAATGTTCTGATTACCGCCAAGAAGTTGTCCTTACAGACGTTACGAGAACACTGAAGGCGGACACGTTCCCGCTCTTTGACCTTAAGCTGTGACAACATATTCCTTCAACAATTGTTTGGATGCTGAGTGTAAAGGAGGCTGAATAATTTAAACTTCATGATTAAAAATGGGTTTAAACAATGAAACAATCAGTGCTTCATTTCCTTCTGCTGGTGCTAGCTAAAAGTTGTGAGGGGGATAGACCAAAATGCTCCGACGAATGGGACCGTCTTCCACAGGATTCCCTCGTTCAAACCTCAGCACGACACACAAATCACACATTTTAATGTTCAATACGTGGCCTCAATTAATCACACACCACATCACATCCCCTGGAGGTTTTGCATTCAAACCTCAAAAGCCCGACCCCAAGCACCGAAGATCTACTTCCTTCTCTCCTTCCATCGGAGGGGAATGCAGATGTGATGCCACCACATATTGTAATGAATGAGAAAATATTCATCTCGACACTGCGATGACACATTCTTGTCCTCTCAATGCCACATTCTTTGCGTTGCCACACCAACA